GTCTATCTATCTATCTATCAATCAATCAATCAATCAATCAATCAATCAATAGATGGATAGAAAGATAGATTGATTGATAGATAGATAGATAGACTTTCAATCAATCAATCAATCTATCAATCAATCAATCAATCAATCTATCTATCAATCAATCTATCTATCTATCCATCTATTATTCTCCCCATAATGCACTAGCACATGCAGGGGGTGTACCTCTTATCAGAATGTATCACTCCCAAATGATGTCATCTTAACAAATATCAACAAATGCATTTTCACAATAAGTTTTAGTGCTTCTTGTCATAATTTGCCGCATTGTCTTTCCCCAAACAGAGCAGTTGGATGAACTGTGTCGAGGGTGTCTGCTGAATGTGCTTTGTCCAAAGATCTGGGAGCACAGAAGCGCTGGGATCGATGCCTGATGTGTAGATTTAGATTGAGGCGAGACGGCCAAAGAGAAAAAGTCAATGGCAATCTCTCCCCAAGCTTTTTCTAATGACAACCGACCCCAAAGTTCATTTCTCATCTTTTCTTCTGCTGCGATGAACTGTCTCTGATCACTTCTTTTTTTAAGGATATAAAACACTTCACAAATGATTTATTGTAATTTCATGCAACCTTTCCCGGTAATGAATTGGATGAGATAAAGATTAAGATAAAAGGACAGATTATAATCAAATAACTTGTCTTTTACCAGAATGGGCGAGGTCTTCCTAAAAGGTTATTATTTTCCGGTAATATTTCACAGTATGGTTCAAATCCATCTGATTTTACACATCTACTTTGACAATCCAAGACATGCATGGACTTTTATGGATATTCACTAACATTTATTAACATTAACATTTAACATTAACATTCACAGACATCCTGTTGCCCAATGGACCACGGCTCAGATGTGTTTGTTTTATCGTTGCATTTCCTGTGTTGTAAATATTTGATTTTCTGATCTATTATTGGCGAATAAACAATTAGCTTTGCACTCTTACCCATAGACGACCGCTGTTGTGAATTTGGGTTGAGTTGAGTGTTTTTTTGTTTTGAGTTCAATGTACATCAAACATAAATTATCAAATGGACATAGAATTTTCAAGCAAATCATGAATTTACTTATTGAAATATTTTACATTATTCAAATTCCAAAAGGAGTGGGAGGAAGGATAATTTTTTTTTGTGATCAATTTTCAATTATACATCTTTTATTCAAGTGTTACATTGTGTTTACATTTTTGCACTGGTTTGCACTAGGGGTGGGAATCTAAGGGTACCTCACGATAACGATTTTATCACAATATGACGATTATCGATATTATGGTCAGAAATATACAATATGCCAATTTATGGCATAAATAAAAGAAAAAAATACACTTTATTTCATGATAAATGGAATGGAGATGCGTAATGTAGCCATATATTAAATATTGATACCAATTTAAAAAATAATTTGTAAAAAAAAAAAAATCGATATCGATACTTGGCAAATGCATATCGATAATCGAATCGCGGGAGAAAGACCCCTAGTTTGCAAGCATCACACTTGACTTTTTGTCCCTTTTTTGATCCCCACATTCCCTTTTCCCTTGTGATTTGCAAAGAAGCTCAAAAAATAAAATAAAAATTCAAACAATTTATACATCTAAACAAAATGAGTAATCAATAAAAACATTAAAAATAAAATAAATAATAATAAAAACAATAACCATAACCCTCTCCAGGTTAACAAAAACTGTTCAAGCAATGAACTGAAAATCCAAGGGTATGGAAGAAAAAAAATCGTATTATTTCCCATCACTGTAATATCGGGCTCTACAAAAAAAACATTGAATTGACTTATTACCATAAAATCAGTAAAGTGACACAGCCTGTGACTTCGAGTTCAGTGAGTCCAAACTTGTGTATATCCTACACACATCATCTTGACCATTTTGAACCAACAATTATGGAAAAGAATATTAGATCCGATCCAGGGTGTTGGCGTCTGCACCTTGAAACCCATCAGCAGCTAACATTTGAATAAACCTGTTAGCTCGACCGGAACCACATCGCTATAAAGACTATTTATGGACTAGTAAACAGAGAGAGCCAATTATTATTCCTTATGCATACTCTACATGGTTTTCTACGTGCAGAACCTGACCAGATGGAGAAGTCACTGTACTTGTAGGACCAACACACCACTGTAATAAACTGTAAAGATGTAAACTTGTTCTTAACCACACTACAAAATGTGTGTGGTCTTTATGCCATTAGCAAAAGACAAATCTATCATTTAAGTTACTTGTTTTTGAATTATCCAAATGGTTAAAAGTGCAAATGACCAAAATCTGAAATCATACAAGATACAAGAACTTATTTCCATTTGCAGTAAAGACACGTTGGAAAAATCCTGGCTTCTATTCGATCATAGCCTGTAACTACCTTTATTCAATTCATTAAAATGAAATGCGGAGGCAGAATTTCACATGTATGCAGCTAACATCTGGAACAGTCTTCCTGAAAATGTGCGACAGGCTTCTTCTCTGACCCTGTTCAAATCCAGGGTAAAAATGAGTTCTGTTTAGCTGCAGACAACTAAAAAGGATGGACTCTTTTTGATGTAGTGCGATTACTTATGATGTTAATGGCTTGTATGATTTTAATGTTTCTTCTTGTTAAGTTAAGCACTTTGAGTTGCCTTGTGTATGAACTGTGCTATACTAATAAATGCCCCTTCCCTTGCCTTGCCTTGCCACAACAGTGAATGTAATATTATCAGACAGTACCAACATTGTACAAAGAATGAATTTAAAAACAAATTTCAAACAAGTGTAAGTAATGTTTATCTACATAGCGCATTTTACAGACCAAGGTCACCCAAAGTGCTTTACAATGTTCAGAGTTCAGATATCGTTCCAATCACTCCACACACGGTGATGATAGGAGCGAGACGAACACACCGGCACATCAAAGCCCCCAAACAAAACCATCCATTCACTCACTCATCTACATTCAGACCATGTTTTTAGTGGTAGGGGAAACCGGAGCAGCTAGAGGAAACCAACACAGACACGAGGAGAACATGCAAACTCCACTCAGAAAGGCCCTGTTCCAACTGGGATTCGAACCCAGGACCGTCTTTCTCAGAAGCGAGAATGCTATCCACTCAGCCACCATGCCTCAAGTCACAAATGTCACAAAAGACAGAATGCAACTAGAAAATGTCAAAACTTCATCCAGAATTGAAAGATTGTTGAAGCTAAGAACGTTGCCCTCACCTCTCACACTACACTTTAGTGACATGTTAGTACCATATGAACCGGCCCGGACTCTGAGGAGCACAGGGACTGGACTCCTGTTAGTGCCCAGAGTCAGAACTAAACATGGGGAGAATGCATTTCAGATTCATGCTGCTAAAATCTGGAACAATATTCCTGAAGATGTGAGACAGGCCTCCTCTCTGACAATGTTTAAAACCAGGTTAAAGACAGTTCTGTTTGGCTGTGCATACAACTGAGGGATTTTATATTTTTATCCATCCATCCATTTTCTGCCCTTTAATCCATTTCTGGATCAGGGGGGTGGCAGTCAGAGATGCCACCCAAGTCTCATAGCACCAGCCCCTCACTGACCCTCTGCAGGTGGTGAGTCCACAGGAGGACGGCTGCTCTCTGAGTGTGAGCATAGCCTTGATCTTTCAGTGGGGGCTTTGGGCAAAGTGGGGTTAAGTGTCTTGCCCAAGGACACAACGACAGCAGTCATCAGTGGGAGTCGATGGAGAAGGTGCAGAGGTGGGAATTGAACCCACAACCTTCTGGCCTTAAGGCCAATGCTCTACCAACTGAGCTACTGTCGCCCTTTATATTTTTATCTTTCTTTTTAATGTTCTGTGATTATTTATGATTTTAATGCTTTCTTCTTTTGTTCAGCACTTTGAGTTGCCTTGTGTATGAATTGTGCTATATAAATAAACTTGCCTTGCCTTACACTTTGGAGACAAACTGGTGGATTGTAAGTGTCACAGTCACCTCTGAGGCAGCATCTTATAACCTCTGGTCTTGGCATCACTCCTGGTACACTCCTCAAACACCATTCATGCACAGGTAACTCTGCTTATGAGTCCACACACACACACACACGCACACACACACACAGATTTATCAGCTCTGTCTGCATGGAGAAAGAAAAACACCACGGGAATGTGATGTCTATACCCCGCAACAGATCAAAGCAGGAGTGATGACCAAATTAGGACCTGAGTGGATTTGATTGTGGGCACCTATAGAGAAGATTAGATCAGATAAAGATCTATATTCTGCCTTATACTGTAGGTATTGTTTATGCTTTTTTTAACCTATGGATAGTATTGTATTGTGTCCTTAATAAAGATGAATAATAATAATAATATATTTTGTACAATGCATTCCCTCTCATGGCTGGTGAACCATAAGAGCTGCTGCTGATCCATTTTGCTGCCATTTGGACCAAATTGTTATGTATTTATAGTGAATGTATTATGAGTGAAACATAGCAGGAGAGATGTATGTTTTGTAATTGTGTTGTATCGAAATATAATGTATTTCAATCCGCTTTAAACCTGGACATAGAGTTGGTTTTACCTTTTAGGAGATGACTTACTAGACCCATTACACAAAGCCCAGTGAAATGATGATAAAGATAGCGTATTTAATAACCTTTACCTCACCATACAAATCTAATATCCAGATTTACATACAATGAATGCATTGAAATTCCCTCAATATGTCATTACTTGCTGATGAATGCTGCACCAGCGAGATATATTCAAATCTATTCTTGTGAAAGTTGCTCAATACGCAAAGGAGTTTAAAAAAAAAAAAAAAAAAAAAAAAATGGGTAAGAGTGCAAAGCCAAGTTTATGTGGCTTTTTCCAGGACCGCTGACCAAAATGAACTCTCAGCTTTGCTCCACACTGTTGCTGCTTTTGGCACATTGGACAAAACATATCTGGGAATAGCACACACCAAAAAACAGACAGTACTCACCAATACTCCTGAAACTCTCCGACAAAGTTCTCCTCAACTTTTTCATTTTGCCGATTTTCTCCACGGGCTGCGAGGCTGGCATCAGGTCACACATTGCGCTTTCTTCTGGGAGACTTATAAGAAGAAAAAAAACGATAATTTCAGTGGATTACAGCCAAACGCAAGGGTCGGAGTCCGCGCGTAAAAAGATGGAGCGATGTTGGAGGCGCAGCGGGGACTTCTGTGACTGAAGCCCGACTGCTGCAGCTGTAAAGACGGGGGAAGCAAGGAGAGCAGCTACGGGGGTGACTTCTCATCAACTCCAAAAAAAACAGCAATTATCCCGGGATATTGTCTCTACATCTCCCAAAGCGCAGGGAAAGAGTCGCGTCCGAGTTGGAGACGTGCGTAAGTTGCAGTCCGAGCTCTTTCTCCTGCTTTTTCCTCAGCCTTCCAGTCGCTCCCAGCTCCACCGCAATCTAGATGTCATTTTTGGGATTCTCTCTCTCTCTCTTTCTCTCTCTCTTTCTCTCCCTCTCTCTCCATGTCCCGCCTTAGCCACGCGCTGATTGGTGGAAGGCCAGGGAGCACCTCTTTTATGATTGGATAAGAGGGAAAGGGCTGTTATGAAGCAAGCTCCGCCCATGAATGTGCTACAGGAGGATTATTCTCAATATGCGCCCGGGCTCTTGTCTCCAGTGCGAGTGCTGCCCTCTGTGAGACCTGCGCGGAGGTATTTCCCAACATCAGCAACATTTCCGTCACTGTTGTCTACTCGTGAACGCACCACATGATAGATTCAAGGTCAGGTTGTGTGCAGGAAATGGATGGATGTCTTCAAGGGGTTGATTCATGTGGGGATTTTGATGAGGAGGGGGGAGTTCTATTCTAAATCTACAGTGAATAAATAACTAATAATAATAATAATAATAATAATGGTGACATAGGGTTGCAGCACTTGACTAAAAAATCGATTTCAATAACATTTCTATAATCATAATCATTAACTGTACCATACAGACCCTAAATACATAAAGCAGTATTCAAAACATGTTCAAAAAGTGAATTTAGAAATAACATAATTGTAACATTATTTTTGTATAGAAACCTTTGGGCACCATAGTTCAAGCTGATAAAGAAAAACTGCTTTTGTCGACTTTTTATCTTTTATTGTACATAATTATGTCCGGCACAGATTATATTTTTAACTTTTAACATGTTACACACTTCTGTCTTTTTGCACAATCTGAGGGATTTTGTCAATGCCAAATGTGACATGCACATTTCTCCATTGTGAGATCAATAAAGTTTATCTTATCTTATCTTTTTATGCCTTAAAGATCTGAGTTAGAGAGAAGAGAACCTTTCGTTCATCTCACAGCAGGGAAATGTCAGTGTTGCAGCGCACATCCAGGACAATAGTAAGAGCAGACAAGGAGCACCAAACAGTAGATGCTTCTTAAATGATATTGAGTCGGTTTTATATAGCAGTCTTTTTGGACACTCAAAGATCATCAGACAATATCTAAGTCCTTAATCTGTTGTATATTTTGAGGAAGTCAATGTTTTTATTTTTAGTAAATCATGAAAGTTCTATAGGAGATATATAATTCTGTCTTTCCCAACAAAATCGTCCTCTACTGGTGGTTAACTTTGATTTCTCAATCTGGGATTTGAGTGGGATTAATTGTGTGAGATTGCAGTAATCCAGGTCATGCTGCATTAGACCTTTGTCCATATTATCTCTGTATGCGGCATCTCTCACCGTGTGGCTTCATATCTACAGTGAAGCTCCCTCTGATACCATCATTATTTTGTTGGGGTCAGATTTGTTCACAAGAAACTTAAAAAACTCTTTCTCTCAGGAACAAACAAGATGTACTTATGAAACAAAACAGTTAGGTACCCCAGATTTTAATATTATTTCAACAAAGTGGAAGAAATGACATACATATACTCTCTGGCATAATCTACCAATGCAAAGTCAAGCAAACCCTAACGGACATAATCAAGCATTTATGAACAAAATGTAGTGTTTAATTCATATTTGGCATATCAGCTGACCCTCATTCATCAGTAATAGAATAGTAATGTACAGTAATAAATCTGTATATTGTGGGAACATGGTCAATTAGTCCATGAGGCTGCATTGTATGAAGAGCCCTCCGTGGTCATAGGGCCTGAGTGTATGTGTCAGTGATACCTAGGGCTTTATCAGCGCTCTGCCTAATTGCTTTGACTGTGGCCAGGGATAATTGAGACAAATGTGCGGCTTTTATCTGTCTGAAATGGCTCTTTATTATATAGCAGCACAGGTAATGGCGCATGTAACCTGAGCCTGGATTGGCCCTAAACCCGCTCTGTCGGAGGAGATAGTGGGCTGGTGTTTATTGCCAGAAATAACATGGATTGAGAGTCACCTGCTTCTTTGACTTGGAGAGAGGAGAAAGAGGTGGAGCAGCAGCTGTGGCAGTGAGATCTCTTTATACTGGAGTGAGATGTCAGCAGAGGTGCACTTGAGGCTTAAACTACCCCCTGCAGGCGGTTTGAGGGTACTTCAACTTTAACATACACATCTTGAGTTAACAGATGATTTTCTATTGGGAATGATGATCCAAGGTATTCTCAATTATTCACTCAGAAAGGGAAAGTTACCTCTCTGGACGTAGCTGTGAAGAGACGAACTGGGTGTAGTATTTGCACGATACAAAAAGTCTGTTTTTGATATTTATGAATAGGTTTACGAAGTTGTGTTTTTCGATTCTGGGGCCATTCCACGTGAAGTGAAAGCTGTAAAGTTCCTCAAAATGTCTCACAAAAGGTGTCTAAATGTGGTGGCAATATTCAAAATAGCATATGCGTGATTGGCCATTATGTTATGTCAGTTTTTTCTACTTTTTAGCTGCTGGTATCCACGCCAACATAACTACATTTGGATTTTTTTAGTTTTTCTTTTTGATACTAGCACAATTGAGTTTTAGTATTGATTAATCATGTCATATCCTATAATTACAGGTCATAAAGTGTCCATAGTAAAATGAGCAGCTGCAAGAACCAGTATAGACAGGTCATACCTCATTTTAAAATATTCCATTTGGAACAGCCTGAATCCAGTCAATCAGGTTGTTGATTGATAAGTCTTACTAAAATGTTTGGATACTCTCAAATTAAGGTGAATGAAGACAACAAAAAACGCTAAAATATCTTTATTTTAATGTCACAGCTCATTTTGTACAATAATCATTTGTCATCATTCTGTTATATATACAGTGCAAAGGCAATTATGAAATGTGACGCTTGATAAAAAAAACTACAGAACAGAAGTATTGAAAGGGCCAACATTTAAAAAGTTATTTCAAACACAACGGCAAAATTACAATGCGTGAAAAAGCGTCTGGAAAGGCGTTATGTTCTACACAGCGGTTCAGAGAGAGAAAAAAAGGCATTAAAGGAACAGTTCAAGATCTTAAAAAAAGAAGAGAAACTCGCTCATCGACACCTCTGCCGCTGGTTTACTCATTCTCAAACTTGCTGTATGGGTGGTCCGGGTCGCCCATCAAACCTACAAACACAGGAAACAGGAAGTGAGGTGAAAGTGAGACAAAACCAAAACAGGGGTGGTGTCGGGTCAAGGGACGGAATGTTGCAAAGAATTAAGATGTCTGGGTTAGACCGGGACAGACTGGGGTTTTGTTCTTGTGTTATTAACGACGAGATTAAACTAAAAGATACAGTAGATGTGCAAAGAAGAGATCCTATACATTCTAAAAAAGCAGAGGTCTGGGGAGATAAGGGAAATATATATTGACACAAAGTACATTAAAGCACCACAGTTATTAGTGACGTTACCCTGATTGCCCTAATTTGACATTCAACAACATAAAGAAATTCATTTGAGAAAAGAGGAAAGTTCGGGGGTGCTTTTTCCATAGTAGCATTCAAACTAATTGCCCAAAGTTTAGACAGACTTTGGGCAGAAAAAGTTGCAGGAGGAATGTCATAATGGCAGTATATATCGGCCCAAAGCTCTTGGGTTTCTGCTGATATTTTTTTTTATCAAATTAAAGTTCAGTCTGGAAAAACTAAACACAGGTGTATGTTTAAGTCTTATGAAATCTGAACGGTGTTGGCTGAAACGGAAAGACTACGTGACTTCACATAATAGCAATTGTTCTCATGTACCAAATCTAAACAAAACATGGCTTCAGACTACCATGATGTCAAAACCCAGAACTAAAACAGGATATGTTTAACTCTATATAAGGAATACATATATGTAGAACTTCGAATTGTATTATTGTATTAACCCAAAAATAATGGATAATAAATAATGCAAAGTAAACCATGTAACCACCAACATGAGCCAAACTAAAGCTGGAAAAATGCTGCCTTATTGTAAAGGATTAGGGTGCCAAAAGTCAAAATAAACTTTTTCTTAACACATAAAACACTTTTTAAAATTACAAATATTCACTTTAAGAAAACATGATTAAACAAAAAGTTTAAAATTGTAGATGAAAAAGTGAGGCCGCGTTTGCCTTCAGAATTATTCACTACAATGATTTCATGAGCACCAGAGCCAAACAACCTGACCCCTTACAGACTTCACATAATGCCAACCACAGACCAACTGTAACACATCGTTTGTGTCTGCATCACCAGCACTAAACAAATCTTGAAAATACTCCCCAGAAGAGCTGCTGTGCCTCCAGTGGTCAGCCCTCTGTGTTAGAGTTTAAACCATAAACTAGCCCATACAGATTGGCCCTAACCTCACCAACATTAATGATACATGAGAAATAATTAGACAAAGACAGTACATCAGCTCAGTGTGATAAATGACCGTACATATTGCATGGAAACATTTGCAGTGTACTCCAAGAATGTCAAGTATTTCTGTTTAAAGATGAAGTCACAGAATGCTGGGGGCTGAAGAGCTAAACTTGTGATATATTTTCCCCATGTGGCCTCTACATCAAGGTTTCACAGGTCTGTGCTTTATCTTGTCCCCTGAAGGACCACCTTTGAAGGCGACGCATAAAAGAAAAAGCCAAGTTTCTTCAACTGAGGTACGTAGGGAGAGTATTTAAATCAGGCTTTAATTTCACTGCTTTTCCAATGCAAGTCCGGCCAGAGCAGTGTTATCTTTGTTATTATTATGCTTCCTACTTTGGTTTAGTCAAACACAGAGTCTGTGCGTCATCAGAAGTCCTCACTGCAGTTTAATATTACCGATACAAAAACATGATCAAGCTCGTGTAAAATGAAAAACTTAACACAATTGCTCCCTGGATTGTGTTTCAGTGGGCAGCCCAGGACAGTGCCTTGTCCCAGCGGAGGAGAGCTAATGAGAGGGGGAGGCCCAAGAAAAACTGCACCATCCATCACTGTGTCAAGACATCCGCAACAGAGACACTGCAAAACATGAAGTCTCCCACGTGCTGCACCAGACACTGCTGCCACAAGACGGAAATGATCAATAGACAGTGATTGGTTAAGCATTCCTCTTTTTGTGCATCAATACAAGGGAAGTCAGGGTGGCTCTTTGTCGAATCCCCTTGCACTGAATAAATCACAAGCCACACTGAAACATATTGGCAGCTACTAAATTGTTCTTCAGTCAAGTGTTTACTTTTGTTTGTTTTTAATTTGATACTGATTTATTATAAGGGCTGTTGCATGGATAACTGGCACAAATAATAATAATAGTAAAAAGGCAACAAATTAGTAGAACTGCTGCATGAGCTCCTGAATGAAGGACGCTTTTTAAACAGGGACCTGGCAACCCACAAGAGTTTACAAATGTTCCTAAATCCCTATATTTTATTCATTTCTGTTGTTGATTTTAATAGTCTTATCATTGACTAACAGGGTTCAGGGCTCCACCTTTTTCCTGTTTCACATTTCTCAAAAAAACATAAAGAGTCATCAGAAGTTATGATTAAACTAATGAACTCCTGAAGAGAAATGTTCTTGATGAAAGATCAATATTATAAGTTTGTCCATATGCTATCTGACTAAATGTATGTTTAAGTCGTTCCAGCTCAGGCCAATCCATTTCGAAGTTATCCATTGGATTTCACTCTATAAAAGGTCAACATGAGGAAAAGCCAGTAAGGCTCAAGCGTGAACTCAATTATGAATGACATGGCCTTGTGAGTCCAGAGCCAGAGCTTGTCTTCTCGTTCCTCATGCATACTATTTGGACATTACACTTGTTCACCTTCAAGAGTCTTTGTGTATTGAAACATTTAACTTTCCTGTAGTGAGACTGATCTTAATTCAAAAATCAGTCCAGTGACCTGTAAAAGACCGCTTTCACCAAGGCCTGGTCCTGTCACTTGACTCCGGCATATGATAAATTATGCCTAACTTAATGCGAGAGGGCAGACTTGGCCTATGGACGACCTGAAACCCTGCGCATATACTGTTGCATTATGGATGGTGGCAATAGATATGGAAATCTATCCCTACATCCCACAAAATCTCAACTAAAAGAACGTGCCTCAGCCAGTGTGTAACAGAAAGTATTCAATGTGCAGCAATGTGTGCGCCAGTGGACAGATCTATAGGTGCCTCGGCATATGGAAATGTGGTTTGGAAAGAGCTCATACTATCTAGTTCCTATTTTCATTTGACAGGCAACTGCTGTAGTTATGGTATCTATCTATATAAGGAGACAAGTACGGTAGATTACATTTGGAATTATTTTGTATGGTATGGTGTGGTTTTTATTTTTACAGGGGGAATGTAAAATAGACATTAGCCAAAAGGAGAAAAGCATTTTACCAGGTTGAAGCAGGAGAGCCAATTTATCAGTGGTTGTGTAATAGTTGGCAAGTAAAGAAACAAGAATAATTTACGATGTGGGGTAAAGTTAGAAGAGAAAAATGTGCAGGTTTGAGCTGTAGATAATTTGAGACAGTGGTATTTTACTTGGTTTCATGCAATACCTCTGCCCCTGCTGTGCGTTTGTCCCTGCCATAACTCAAAAAGATCATGAGAGGAACACGACTACATTTTTAGGAAACCTCCATAAAGTTACTAAGCGGGAAATCGGGCTAACCGTCTAGATACAGGGCTTTTTTCTCTTTCTTGCCGTTCTTTCGCACTGTGGCAAGATCACAGAGAGCGGGGAAGAAGTGTCCTATTTATAAACTTGTTTGTGCACAATCCAGCCAAGTTTTAAGTCCTATAGCTAGTTTTCTTCTCTTATTCACACAGAGTCAAGTGCATTGTGGATAAGCAGGGAATGACACAGAGAGATTGACAGCTCGGGAAGAAACTGCTGCTAAACATCGGCTAACTTTTCCATATCAGACTAATTATTCCCCCCCAAGCCCCTAAAAAAGTGAACCAAGTCTATACATACTGCTATTCATCACCCAATTGTTTATATTATTTTAGCTTCTTGTAGACTTTACTCTTACTTTTCACCGCCGTAGTGTCATGTTTCACAGGGCGGGTGACTTCAGGGTTCATCCGTCTTATTCTACCCTGCTGTGGGCCTCCTCTTTTTCTCATTTCTGTCACTACATCATCCATAAAGCTGTAGTCTCTCATGATGTGGAGCCATTTATCATCTTCTATCAGCACATTATAAATCTTTGCCAAAGTTAGCTAGAGTATGCGAAAGAGGGGGGGGATCTAGTCACTGTGGATATGAAGTAGTTGGTAAATGTAGTGGAAAGACGCAGAGACAAACTAAAACACGCCTGTATTTCACTGGGTCTTTCTCATCTTTCTCAGATTAACCGAGCGCCACATACATTGTTTTAGACACGTCCCATCAGTCACTCGTAGGGAGCGGAGACGATCAAGTGACACGCAGGGGAAAGTCCCAGGGGAATACATACCGTACTTCCTGCGAATTTCATCATGCCTCGACTTCCGATCAGTCTTCCTGGAAAACACAAACAAAAAAATGATCAGTCGACGTGAAGCAGGCCGTTCTGCAGAGACGGAAATGCAGAGAGATGTAGGAGCCCACAGTGGATCTGAACAATAACAGCTTGAATGGGACTGCTTTGTCTATTTTCACCCAGGCTGCTTGGTAATCCAACACAAACAGAGCAACGTGCCGGCTGTCAGTCTTTCCTGGGGTCTGACAAAAGCCCTCGAGGAGGTTTTGTGCAAAGGGACCTTTTGAGGCATCCCTTCACTTCATCTCGTCTGAAAGAGATGCTGTAAATCAGTAGGTGCTGTAAAGGGACTGGGCAATCATAGAGTCATTGGGAAGGGGGGTTGCTGTCCAGATGTTATCCTGGTCTGATTATGGCTCATGTGACACGTTCTCAGCTCGTAAGAGAAAAGGAAATGCAACAAGTGGAAATCGGATCAACAGTTCAAGTTTAATAATAGTGTTCATTAGGGTCATCTATCCAATAAACGTCAACTTCACTGTAATAATTGTGTGTATAACCACACCATCAGGGGGGTATTGTAATCGTCACTGAGGTCGTGTTTGTTTGCCTGATTGTGACTAAACAGATTGAGCTGATGTTTTAGGGTGTGATGGAAAGAGGAACGACCCCATTGGCGGGGTATGGGGTCTCCGAGAACATGTTGTAGCTAAGCTTTTGTTTAGATTTTTGCTTGGTTGGTTTCGGAGTGGGCGGAAACCAACCAAGGGCGACAGTAGCTCAGTTGGGGCGACAGTAGCTCAGTTGGTAGAGCATTGGCCTTTAGGCCTGAAGGTTGTGGGTTCAATTCCCACCTTGACACCTTCTCCACCGACTCCCACTGATGTCTGCTGTCGTTGTGTCCTTGGGCAAGACACTTAACCCCACTTTGCCCAAAGCCCCCGCTGAGAGATCATGGCTATGCTCACATTGACAGAGCAGCCACCCTCCTGTGGACTCACCACCTGCAGAGGATCAGTGAGGGGCTGGTGCTATGAGACTTGGGTGTCATCTCTGACTGCCACCCCCCCAACCCAGAATTGGATTAAGAGGTAGAAAATGGATGGATGGATGGATGGTTTCCGAGTGGTAAACAGTAAACACTTTCCATGGCCCAGAAACATTCATGCATGAGTGGTCTGTCTTAACATCTCATTAACATTAACATCACAGCATTAAACGGTTTTTACCTATGCTAAATAAGTTGTGATATACATTGTGAAATCTAAAAGCAAAAGGAGGTGGAAATATAAGACATGGGCAGAAGCAAATTCAGAATATTTTTGGCATAGTCTCACAAAGAAGAGCCGGCACACCGTAAGTTGTGGTTTGTATGAAATCTGTCCGTAACATCCTTTTTCCTTTTCTCGTTCAAGATTTGGCTCTGGTCTTTGCCGACTCCAAAAAGAAAACCTTTGAAGTCCACTAAGAACCTGCCATGGCGGTTGTACAGATTGGAGGAGACCCATTCACGGCTATGGGATATAATACAATGCAAAACATGTCTTTTCAAAACAATCTCCAGAAGCTAAATTGGTTCTAGTTGTCCGTCTTTGTCCATGACGGAAAAAAATCTCGGATACATTTGACGTCCTTGTAAGATAAGAAATACCAAGTGCCACATTCTCTTTGCTGTTAGTTCTGGTTCTATAAAGAGAAAGTTTAACCCACATTAGAAGTGCAGTGAGTTGAAACACTTAACATCACGTTTCTATAAATAAAACTTTAAGTGCTGTTTAAGAATAAGGCTCATGATGGACAGATCTGTGTCAAAAGCTGACAGCCACATCATTTCATGTTAATTCAGACACAAACGCACATTTCTATATCCTTTAACATTACTTTCTGGTCAGGCAGCAAACTATTCAGGTGCGGATGTTGCACTAATCACAAAAACAAGATAAGAATAACATTCAGAAAAAGGCTTAAACCATCTTTTGAAATCCTGGAACTAGCTTCATTACTAGATTTGAACATTCAACATCCAATTTCCATCAGGTTCCCCGATTCATTATCAAAGCTGAAATGTGTATAATTCATGCAGACTGCAAAGAGGCCGTGGTGACAGCGATGCTCTTCTGTGCAAACTTAAGAGGATCAGAAATGCATTGTGCCCTTGCCATTACTCTGGCTTCAGCTCTCCCGATTCTGTGCTCAATATAGGTCACAGCGCTCTGTGTGACTCTGCAGATTTGATCACAAATGTGGTAAGAAGTCCACGCTGGATCCTTATACATGTGAATGAAAGGAGAATTCAAACACAATGGAGCAGGACTGAGATGTTCCCAGCAGTAGCAGTGCTCGACTTCTGCACGAGTGGAGCGGGATACTTGAATCAGCAACGAATCAGCTGACCTTGGCTGAAAGTACTCAACTGTTTATAAAGGGGAACTCGAGTGTATAGCGGCGAGATCAAGTCCGAAAGCAATAATGTGAACCCAGACCCACGTAGGTTCTAACTCCTATTCTTTTAAACATAGCAAATACAAAAACTGTCATTTGTGATTGGTACGGTAAACTTTAGAACAGTCTCCAGACCTGAACCCATTAGAAAATCTGTTGGGGGAGTTGAAAGCCTAGCCCACTGTATGAATAAAAACAAAAAAGGAGAACATCTATTTCAGTGATAGCAATTTCAAACGTAAACAGTCTCTTACTGGTTTTCCATATAATCCATTTTCCGTTTCAATTATATTTTCCCAAGTCAAACGATTAAAACCCTTGAAGGTCAGGCGCTGACACATTGCTAGGACACTCATCAAAATTCACACCACACTTCTTGGCTGCTGAATAGGGTCCAGAGGATGTTACTTGCTCTATTTATGCCTGTGATTCGCGAGAGCAGCTGTTCAGCCTTGACAATCCGACTGGTGTTTGGGGATGTGAGCGGAGAGACGCCCTCCTCCTGTGGGACTGGGACTTGTTGAGGCTGCAGCAGTTGTTTTGAATTTCAAGCAGACAACCGCCTCTTTTGTTGCCAGTGCTGAACTCTTGTGCCGCACTTAGGGCCATCTCTGCACGATGATTTACAGGCAAAGTTATGAGCCGTGAAATGGGGCTATTTTGAGTGCATCACAGATTAATCGTTGGGTGATTGATTTGTTTCTAGAAAGCATGTCCTTTGCCAAATGTCCTTTGCCCAGAAGCGATCTATGATAGAAAACGTTTCAAATATTTTCATTCATTCATCTTCAACCCATTAATACATTTCCTGCGATCAAACTCACGACCATTGGACCCAAAGAACCAATGCTCCACAGACTAAGCCACTGTTTTAAATATAGTCAACAATAAATCGATTATATTGATTAAAATTGAGAATTGAACTGGACCAGTAGTGTCTTAAAGTGGTTATTCTCTACATTGAATAGTTGTAACAGCGTGATTGCAAATTAAATAATCAGAATCTTAAAACTGGAAAGTTGCAAGCAAATTAAAGCTGGCACAACAATGTTTTTTTTGTTAACTATTCATGAATACATTTTGTTTGTCAGAGCACACAGGCCGCATTTATCGTATTTGAAAAACATTGTATTGTTTATGTACTGAGAGCTGAAGCTAGGGCTGGTGATGTCTTTTTACTTTTCTTTCTTAAAATCTAAAAACGTGACAGAGGCCAAAAATACATCCATGTGAAAGAACCCATCCATCCATCCATCCATTTTCTACCCTTTAATCCATTTCTGGGTCAGGGGGGTGGCAGTCAGAGATGCCACCCAAGTCTCATAGCACCAGCCCCTCACTGACCCTCATGACCCTCTGCAGGTGGTGAGTCCACAGGAGGACGGCTGCTCTCTGAGTGTGAGCATAGCCTTGATCTTTCAGTGGGGGCTTTGGGCAAAGGGGGGTTAAGTGTCTTGCCCAAGGACACAACGACAGCAGTCATCAGTGGGAGTCGGTGGAGAAGGTGCAGAGGTGTGAAAGAACCAAAGAGAGCAAAGAGTTTGAGAGCGAGGGACTAGTTATATGAAGAGTTCCTTTTTGTTGTTTCAAAGTTATGTACTTCACCTTTAATGATATACGTAATTGTTATGGTTGAAACTGTGCAAAAATGTTTCACAAAGCAAACAACTATTCAGTAATATCTACAATTACTGCAAGAAGACGTTGACCATGACCTATATAAAGTAATCCTGGGAAGAAGAAGAAGCCTTGGCGTCTCCTTGACCACCGACAGCAGACAATGACCCCATGTTTTTATCATACTGTTGTTTCACCTTCACCCAAACTCAAGGACAGAAGCATGAGAAGCTTCAGAGTGCGAACCCTTGAAGATTCAGCTCTTATTTTTCTAATTTGAATTCATATTTGTATTTTGTGTATTGTTTTCTGTTCCGGCATATACTAAGCAATACAAAGGCAAGTCATGGTTTCGGTACCGTACTCTATTAGCCCCATTTTACAGTTCTTACCGTTCCTCGGAGCGCTGTCGGATCTCCTCTCTCCTTTGGGCGTACTGCTCGTCTTCTCTGTCAAACCTGCACACACACAAAACATGGCAATGGGGATTCCCTCTGAAAAACATTTACAAATCACAGTTTATGAACAAGGACCATGGGAAGGAAGTCCAAACTGTACGGTCACATAAGTCAATACGTTGGACATTTTGAATAGATACATCCTTGTTTTTGTTCATGAAAAGGTTTTTTTTAAATATTTGTACTTTTACCCTAATAATACTATAGCAATTGTGCAACATTCAACTTTTACCATCTTTTTATATGAACGTAAATGGCTGGCAGCTCTACACCTTGCCCAGGGACAACAGTAGAAATGAATCTATTAGCTATAACTTGCACAATTCTAGAAATATTTATTAACGCACAATGTCCTTATTCATATTACCATGAGATTCCAAGATGGGAGACAAGAAACACTAAGTAGATTTAGCCATCAAACTCTATTCTAATGTATACAATGATAATAAACTAGTAATGAATCACTATTGTAATATACAGCATATCTAGCCTCTATGTAGATCCTTTTGAAACTTCAATTCAAATCCAATTTTCAATGCATCCTTCACAACATCACAGGTTCAGTATATAATCTTTGTCACACTGTGAAAGAAAAAAATTCCCTTGGAGTTGGTCTAAAGCTCCTAAATACTTAACAAATCTGGCTAAAAAGGAGAAAAAAAAACAAATTAACATATATATACTCATACATACAAATATTAGCACACAATACAGACATTCATATAGTTTTTACACACACATCTAGTTGATTTAGATCGGAGTTCAAGCTTCAGCAGTATGGTGTAGTAGTATTTTCAAGGAGATCTTGTGCAGATTTGAGATACAGGCTTGATACTGCTATTTATAACCAGCATCTATATACGGGCCTTTCACAGAGACCCAAAACAAATGTGTCTTGTATACATCATGTGAACAGAAAGATCCTCATTCTGGGGGGTTGGGGAGCGTAAATGTTGCGTGGCCCCATCACACGTCGCCTTTTGAGCTGCTTGTCAGTAGGGTGACAGAATTGCTCCGGTCAGAACGAGACAGTGACGAGTGACTGGCATTTTGATCTGAGGCACAAAGAGGAGGAGGCACGGAGAACGGCGGCTTTACACGGGGCGACTGTGGCTAACACGATTCTCTGTCACGCAATTCTATTTCTAAAGTTTGTGGAAAAAGTGTCAACTATGAAGGATTGGGGTTTTATTCACACATGTTATTAAGCTTTAAGCAAAAAATGGGTTAGGGTAAATTAATCAACGTTTATTTCTATAGCACAGTTCATACAGAATGCAACTCAAATACCTTAAACATTTTTGACTTTCTGCTCTTTATGATTTGCCTTTACCTGGAAAGTCAATACTCCACTTTTGTTACTAAGTTAAACCCCTCTTCCAATTGAGCACCTGGTCTTTTAAATAATTTTACACGCTTGCACCACGCAGCACTCCTTTGATTTTTTTGAGAATGCAACTCAAATTGCTTCACATAAACTTCACTTCAACCAATTAAAAACACATACAAATGGCAAAAAAATAAACAAATATATAAAAATGAATAAAACCACACCTGATGATCCGCTGCCTGATGATCAAAAGTCATACGTACGGCTAAAAATAAAAGTTTTCAGCATAGATTTGAATATAGCTAGGGCCTGTCACACAATTAAGGCTGGATTGTGTAATTTTACCTGGTGTGACTGGAGCTTTTACAACAGCAGCAGTAGCAGCAGCAGACGGCAATGGTCAAGACGACGACTCCGGCCAAAGCTCCAAGCGTAATCACCAGCGCTTCGAAATTCACTGATGTAATGAACATAAAAATGATCAGAGAGCAAGCAATAAATCCATTTAGGGGCATCTTCACTTCGTTATGCAATACTGCCCTCTAGTGGCTATTTTCTTCACAGGAGTAAAACTGAACCAGTTTAAGCCAAAGTAATTGCCCGTCATATAAATGTTTGCATGACTTCGGACTTGGAGTAAAAAGTGGGAAATGATAATACCACATTTCCTTACAGTGTATCATAATTTGTGCAATGTGAAATGCTTTTTAAAAAGAGAGATCTACATAGGGCTGGGTGCAGAACAAGAAATTAAAACAAACGGCTATTAACATGCAGCATGTGATTTACACTGCAGCGCGTGAAGAAAAACACAATCCTTAATGATCGACAGTATCCTTAATGGCAAAAAAACTATTCTAATTTATGATAGCCAACATCAACTGCACTACAGCTACTTCTGTCAGAGTAAAAAACATTTTGTGGAGCAGATTTCAGACTGATAATGTTAGAAAGAAGATTTGAATAACACTGCATTTAAAAGTCCAAAGAGCCAATCAATGAGTTTGAATTAATCTTATTTGTTGATTCCAAAAAGTTGAAGAAATAGTCTTTGCTTTGATTACTGCCAACTCCATCATTACAGAGGAAAGGAAATCCATGAATGTGTTTTTTTCAGTAGGATCTGGACTGTTTTCTTTCAGTAAACATAATTGAATGGCATGTGTATTTATTTTCTGCTCGAGACTTTAAGTCAGGGGCTAAAGTGTTCTTGACAACAGTTTATTAAGTCTGGTTTCTGTATAAAAACACTTTGACAGTGAAATGCTGAGGACAACTAACTCGCTTCCGCTAAATATGTATCTACTTCTCTGTTTCTATTTGCCTTAAATGGCAAACCAAACTGTTCTTATCTTTGACTTTAACTATGTTGAATTGAAGATAATATTTACAGAAGACATGGTAACTCACACCAGCAGACTCCCCAGCGAGCTTCAGCCAGTTTACAAACAGAAGCCGGTGGGAACAGCCAAGTCACAGGGTAGTCGGTGCAGTTATTAGTGGAAAAACACCAAAGGCACTGTAGAGAAAGTCAACAAGACAAAATTAGAACACCACAAGATTATGACCATATAAAGAAACACAAGAGTGATTACTTTATTCTGAGAAAACTGCACAGATAACGTTGGCTGCTGTATTGTTTTTGGATTATTTTACATGTTATGAAAACTGGCTACTTTTAATGTGAAATACATTTGTAGCGGTTTGCGTGTAATCACGAAAAAGACAAAAAAGTTCCACGTTCTACATTACGGCTGGACGATAACACGATATGACAAGGAAATATCATGATAACAAAATGAAATGTTGAAAGAAAGTCTTATCGCTCTCAAAACTGTTTGGCTCCATCACTAGTTTTTACTTGCATGAATTTCTGCGCTGTCAAATCTTTAAATCAGCTTTTTCAGACAGAAGAGTTATAAAGCCTAGCCAATCAACTCTCAGTATGTGAAAAACTACATGACTACAATATCATAACACAAGACAAGACTCTTTCTGTTGGGACAAAAAAAAAATGTATTCATGAAACCCAGAATGTTTCTTGTTTTCTGCAATGTTGTGATCTTACTGTATATCCCTGTTTTTAGATGATTGTTGCTGCAAAACCAATTTCCCCAAGTGGGACAATAAAGAAAACTTGAACAGGTCTGCGGAGAACCTATGCACAGTGGAATTGTGGCTGGTTTAAGAGTGGATACACAAGTCTGCTGGGGATAAGGTATGAGTGTATTCAGGTTAGACTGGTTAGCCAATCAATGAGTTTGAATTCATCTAATTTGTTGATTCCAAAAAGTTGATTACAATTCTTTCTTTCTTTGGGTCAAATACTAGAACTAAACTACTTCATCACTAGTTTTCAGGCAGAGCCGTTTCCAAATGGCCCCCATGCAGAAACGCATTGACACGGAGATGTTACGCGTTTGTTGCGCTCTCATGACTTGACATCATGAGGCCTCTTGCGATACATAGTAAAACAAATGAAACAAGCTTCAATAGTTCTGAAAGCCAAACATTCGTTGTTTGGATTAGTGCTTCCGGTCATGAGGTAATTCTAATCTGAAGGAGTGGATTATAATTGTTATTCAATCAAACTTGAACAGAAAAGATGTTATGGTTGACAAGGACGACAAAAAGCAAACTTGGGTGCACACAGATTGTCTCACATTATCCTAACACTGGGTAACCTCAGATTTGTATAACTTTATTATTCAAGGGTTACTGCTTTTAATGTTATCAGTGAGTCTAAAGTCATTGCTTGCTTGAAATGAAGTCATTTATCATTAGACAGAACCAGTGCTAGACATACCCATAAACCGGACTGAAATGGATAAGACATGATGTGGGGCCTTTTTGTTAATATTTAATTTGTACGGGGGATAAGACATTCATGGATTTTGTCTTTCCAGTTGACTTCAAGTGTGTAGGCAAAGCGGATTATGAACAAAAGTAGGGCAAAGTTTAGGGTGATCACCTCTAAGACAAGTAAAGGGGACATATTGGACTGCGTAATGAGTCAGAAATGATCAATTAAGACTATTAAACTATGAAATGTTTAGGTTTTTCAACTTGGAAAAAATTACACATGGCATTCTCATTGAAATTCAGAAAGGCGAACCACCGAAAGAATAATGATGCTTAAATGCAGGAATTTAGATTCAATTTTAACCATTTCCTATCATCCATTCATGCAGTATGGACATTTATCAACATGTATGGACATTGGTAATCTGCCACAAATGTACCAATAATACAAATGTGTTTTCTATCATTGCATTTAAACTGTGATTCTCTGATCTATGTTGGCAAATTCAATGGTTGTGTAAAGTCCTCTGAGATAACCACTGTTGTGATTTAGGGCTATACAAGAATACATTGAATTGTGTAGCAACGTGAGACATGTTCAAAATAAATAAGTGGCGTAGATCAAAGTGACTTCACAGGAAATATACATAACAATAAACGTGTGATGCAGCTTACCTTTGCATGAGGAACACACGTGTCACAGTTTTTATAAGAGGAGCACGCTGGAAACAGATCAGAAGTCATTAAAATGTAAGAAATCTTTTTTTTTTTTTTTTTTTACTTAATTGAACATTTACAAAATAATAAATAATGAAAAATAATTCAAGTTGAAGAGAAAAAAAGCCACCATATAAAAAAGTAACAACTAAAATAGATAAATACGAAATATTGTTTTATGATTGTATATCAAATTGAATAAAATAGTAATAAAAGAAATAAAATAAAAAAGAGATTTTACCTCATACACAAACATACAAGTCACGTGACGTACTGAACACAATACTGTAGCAGGAGTTCACATGAAGCTTCAAATTTGAGGTTTATTAAATATATGTTGTGTAGTTTAATGCAATGTATAATGATAATGACCTTGTACTTTGAATTATTGTCGTATTGCGTATTTAGATTACTTACGGCTCGGGGGTGGGGCTGAAGTAGTTTGACAGCTGCCGAAGCTAACTATGCTAAATATCATGAGGACAAGAGCTGGAAGTAACATCCTGAAAGAGTGCGGCGGCCAAACCAACGGAGAGGCCATGGCTCCGAACGTGGCTGAAGACGCAAGTATGACCGTGCACAAGACGGTGCAAGTGGTAAGTCTCTGGTGGAGTTTCGTTTCTGGTTTCTGAAGAAGCAGATCTTTGTTATTTCCTCCCTCCGAGCAGGTTTATGGTCTGAGCAGAGCAGTGCGCCTCCCTGCTGGTCAAACAAAGGAATGACACTTTCTTGCTTGAAAAAGAACAGTTTTTGTGAAAAGGCTTCTACTATGACAATGTTCAAATCCAGGTTCAAAACACCATTATTTATGACATCTGTGATTTGTGATTTGACATTATGACATTTGTTTTGTTTTACTTTCTTTTTAACGTGAGCAGTTAGCAACCATGGTAAAAACAAACAAAAAATTGGTTACTATAGCAACAAATGACTCCGTTTATCATTTGGTTGCGTTCAAAACACCTTTTTTTTGTGCTACATTTCAAGTTGTATACACTAGTTTGTGAGTTAAGGTAAAAAAATAAAAAAACTGTAAAGTTTTACTTTTTGGGGAGTATTGAATTTGTTTGAATGGGAGTTCTTGTAGTTTTAAAAACTGTGATTGAAATGTTTCTTTTCTTTCTGTTTACCATGTTGAGTTTCCTTGTTGAATAAATAGAGAAAGGTTTAGGTTTTAGCCAAAATATCCCCGAAGTGGGCTTTGGGGCACCCTCTATAGGCCACAATGTGTGTTGAGGAAACAAGAATACAATTCAAGTACATTGGAAAAAAATAACAATATCACTCACGTGTTTCACACACTGATTCATCAGCTTGTTGTTTGAATCATATTGCGCGATAAATGAGTCTATGCTCTTCAATACATATTTATATTTCTTCTCTTCCAATTCCGGCATAGTTGAAGGAGGCCAGTCCCTGTGCTCCTCAGAGTCCCAGCAGGAGGCCAGTCCCTGTGCTCCCCAGAGCTTGTTCAGATGTACTTTGGTGTGAGATCATGGAGAGACTTAGTATATCACCCTTAGTTCACACACTAAGGGTGATATTGAATAAGCCCAATGATTGTGTGTGTTAGGGTTTTATCAGCAGTACTCCCAGAGCAGTCAATTTAACAGCTTATAGTTGTGTAGTGTAATTACTCAGCGTTTGTCATTATTATTTTTTATAAATCTATGTTTAATTTTTGAAATGTGAGGAGTTATATATTTGAACCTAAATAAAATTCAAATTCAGCCATTTTCTGTTGCTTACAATCTTAAAAGGGAAGTTAAAGCCCTTTTCAAGGTGCTGATTCTGAACTGAGCTTCATCTTCCATCAGAGAAAGGTAAATGGTAGTTTGCAACACACTGTTTACATGTCTTTTGTCTTCAGCATTACCTGTTTTTGTTTATGTCAAGTTATAGTCAACAGTTATAGTACTTATTAAAAGTCAGTGAAGGTAAAGGAAAACAGTAATTTTTACTCAATCTGGTGGAAAAGTTAATATTTTTAGGAGGCCCCAGGAACAATTATTATAAAATGGTGTGTGACTGTTCTCTTTTGGTTACAAGTAACACAGCACTTTAACACAAACTCACTATTAATGAAAAACGAAATAAAAGTAAAATTGAATCCGACATTGTTGGTTTTTATTATGACCACCACATTTGGATTTATTCAGTGCAGTCTTATGTTGAGCTTTCTCCATCCCTCAGTCACTTGTTCTGGGCTCATCTGGAAACATCCATCCAATTTCTTCCACTTTATCCTGGGTCGGGTCACAGAGGCAGCAGTCTGAGTGGCCCAGACTCCCCTCTTCACACCTCACATGAACCTCCTGCAGCTGGATGAGGCGTTTCCAGGCCAGCTCCAGACTCAGCTCTCTCTTCACCACAACAGTCCCACATAGAGGCAGCATCACTGCAGACGCTGCTCCTTCTCTTGCAGTGAACAAGACCAGAGACACTTGAACTCCACTACTGGAGGAAGGAGCTCTCAGCCACCTGGAGAGGGACATCTGTCTCCGGTCCAGAACCATGGCCTTGTATTCAGAGGGGCTGAGTTTCATTGGAGCCGCTTTTCCCTCGGCTGCACACCGTCCCAGTCAGGCGTTCTCATTTGCAGATTTGTTTGGTCAAATCTCTGACCAAACAAATCATTTGCAGATTTGTTTGGTCAAATCTCTGACCAAACAAATCATTTGCAGATTTGTTTGGTCAAATCTCTGACCAAACAAATCATTTGCAGATTTGTTTGGTCAGTTTCTCCGTTAGGTTCACAGGTCCAACTGCTCCTCAGCGCCTGCAGTCACAATTAAACAGAAGAATGGTATTGTTGAAATCTTGTTGTAAATCTTCATACTGGAGGTACTTCACTCTCACCTCTGTTCGAGCTTCTCCTTGTTCCGGTGGCTCTCAGCAGACATGGCTCTGATCTTATGTAGACTGGTTCACTGGTGGGCTGTGGTCAGGAGCAGGGGGTGTGGCTCTCTGTGGTGCTGAGCGCTGGTGGAGGCCCAACTGCATCTGACAACAAAGGGGCAGTTAAAAAGAGCATTGACTGTATTGTTGCTGGTTGGAGTATGAAAACAGAACTGTGCCAAATCCACTCCTCTCTTCACCTCAAATGGTTCTTCTTGACGTGAAGGAGCAGCGGCTCTAGTCAGAAGGAAACTCACTTGGAGCCTTGTATCTGCTATCTTGTCCTTTGGGCCAATTTTCCAAAGATCATGATATGACCATACACAGAGCAGTAAATCCAGAGCTCTGACTGAAGACGCTGCTCCCTCTTCACCAGAACAGTCCGATAGAGCTTTGACTGTAGACGCTGCTCCCTCAGCGCCTGCACATCACAATAAAACAGGAGAATGATAATATTGTCATCTTGTTGTAAATCCTCAGTCTTCTGGAATCCTCCCTCAGGTTTCCTCCCTGAACAAGACCAATGTGTTTTAAGAGCACAGTTCAGAAGAGCAGCAGGACACACACACTGAAGGCCTCTCACGTGGGATGAGTCTGGTCTCTTTGTGGCCGCACTTGATCCTTTCTTCCCCTGAAGTGGACAGCAGCATCCACAGGTCACTCTCACAAAAATAGATCCTACATTTGGTCAGATACATGTTTGGTGTCACTTACATTCTAATGAACACTGAACACTCTTTATTTACTATATGTGGCTGGAGCTGGAAGTACAACAGTCATTGTAGTTGTAGAAAACCTTTTCCAACACTGAGCTTGAGTTCCTGTAATGAAAACAAGTTTATTCATGCAAGTAACAATATGTCTGCTTTCCACTGTGGATCCTAAATGGACCCTAAGAGTGCAGCTCACCAGACACGTGTCCATGGTCCAGAGTCAGAACTGCCTCTCACTGTGTAGGGTCAGGATCAGGGTGGTCTCTAGTGGCGCTTCACTGCAGTAGTGTAGTTGATACCATGGACAGCTCCATCAGCGACACATCCATCTGAACTGTGGGAGCAGACGGAGCCTTTCATTCATAAGTTCACTATTTATTTGAAGATGACTCACCGGGACATGATGATGCAGCGGACTCCTGTCTCCAACTGGAACACAAAACTGGAAACGAGACATCTGAAGACATCTTTGATAATGACACAATGACTTTATTACAAACTCCTATCTCATGTGGGGATGTGTGTGTCTTTGTCAGTGCTGTCAAAGTTGGAAGAGCCTTGTCTCTGTCCTCAGCCCAAATAAATGCGCATGTCTTACCTTTGGCCGAGGAATAAAAAGCCACAGCCTCCAAAGCCCTGTTGAAGGCTCTACATGTGCATTCACACAAGGACACATGGACTTAAGACCCACTCTTTGTCAATGGTTTTGACATACTTTAAATATTGTCAAATACGATGTATGTATGTGATGAAATTTAAGAGACATTGTTCCTTTATTATTGTATTTATGAAGATTTTTTAAGTGACAGTAGAAAAGCCCACAGGGAAAGAATGTTGTAAAGTAGCAGTTGCCTTAAAGTCTGCATACATAACATCAGTTAAGTTTGGTAAATAGGTCTGACGACATCGTCCATGTCAAACTAAAAATAAATAAAATGAATAATAAAATAAATGAAATGAAATAAAACAAAAATACAAATAATAATGAATAAAAGGAAAATACTTTAGTAACTTAGTTGGGGACCATAGTTTGGAGACCACAGGATTTCATCTCTGCTGTTTGCAGACAATGTTGTCCTGTTGGCTCCAAACAACCAGGACTTTCAACATACACTGGCAAGTCAAGTGTGAAGCAACTGAGATAAAGTACAGAACCTCCAAATGTGAGGCCATGGTGCTCGATCGGAAAAAGGTGCCTCTTCAGGAAGTATCTCAGGGTCTTGTTCACGAGTGAGCGTCTCGTGAAAACCTCTACTCACGAGCTTTGGGTCATGACCGAAAGGACGAGATCTCAGATACAAGTGGTCGAAATTAGTTTCCTCTGCGTCCCCCCCTTAGAAAGAGGGTGAGGAGCTCAGTCACTCGGCAGGAGCTCAAAGTAGAGCCGCTGCTTCTACACGTCAAGAGTTGAGGTGGCTCGGGCATCTGTTTCAGATGCCTCCTGGACGCCTCCCTGAGGAGGTGTTCAGAGCATGTCCCACTGGGAGGAGACCCAGGACACACTGTAGGGACTATGTCTCTCAGCTGGCCCTCGGGATTCCCCCAGATGAGCTGGAGGAAGTGTGTATGGATCGGGAAGTCCAGGCGTCTGTGTTTAGACAGTTACCCTCGCAACCCAGCAACGGATGAAGCAGAATCTTTGGAAGGAGGAGGGATCACAGCACCAACTCTGTGGATGGCACTCCACCTCCTCTCCTGCTGATCCTCCTCAGCTCTAGAGCAGGGGCGGCCAAACGTTCAATCTGCGGCTAAAACTATATTGGTAGGCAGAGGGCCAAAGAAATTATTTGTTGCACCGAAAGGAACGACTAAACTGTCCTTAAAGATTGTCAGACTGGTTTTGACCAATGTCCTCACCCCCTCATGGGCCATATTAGACCCTCAGAGGGACCAATGTGGCCCACGGGCCCCAGCTTGGGCACCCCTGCTCTAGAGTGAACACAAGGCCAGGCGTACTATCAAGGAAACCACACTATAGTCAGCTTAAGCTCTTATTTATCCGTTCTCAAATATAATCAAGTCATTGTGTCATTTTACAGAGTGGCTTTTTCTGTCAAAGTGGATCTGTGTCTAATACGTTCCTACATAGTATTCCTGTCCTTTGATTTAAAAAAGCACATTTGGAAGTTTCTCCTTTGTGAGATCAATAAAGCATATCTTATCTTATCAAAGCAGTGGGTATCGCACCGGCAACCATCAACAAATCAATCAACACACTTTATTTCCATAAAGTTTAAAGGGCTGGTTATTGGGCGACTCCCCAGAGGAGAAAGCAAGGAGTACTATGGAGGACAGAGTGAGACCTCTGCTCACATGAGGATCATCTGTGGACTCACTGCTCATGCTCAATGTGCTTCTGCTCTGGAGACTTGTCAGGAAGTTTATGGAAGTCCTGCATGGTTGTCTTTGCCTTCTCCTCTTTTGAAACAAACTATCACTGATACTAGAACAAGGGTCTTAAACCTATAGTGCGGAGCGACCAGTGTCTCTCCAGGCCTTTCAAAGTGTCCTCTGAAAGGCTTTATCTACTTGTCTTTCATCACTGTACCTACACAGTATTCATTCTTTTGTGTTCTAATGAATGAATTCATGGTTTATGTTTGATACACATATATCGGTCAAAAGGCTGAAAACCCTTGTGCTAGGTGAATCTTTTTTTAGTTTTTGTTTTTGGCTTAATGGCAACATTTTGCCCAATAAATAAATCAAGAAAGAAAGAAAGGTCCAGAGGAGAAATGGGCTGCTGATGGTGGAGCGTGTGTCCCATGTGAAGCACTTTGTGACCTCCTCTAGTGTCACAGTGCTGTAGAAATAGGCGTGGCCTTTTCTCCTCCTCGCCTCCAGGGGCTGTTGTCTCCAGTCTCAGGCTGAGCTTCAGTCAGAGTCAGAGTCTTGGAGCAGGTGGCGCTGCTGGAAGAAGTGGACGAAGCCCCCGGACGTCCCAGCAGAGGTGGCGGGGGTGGGCTCCTCCTTGATGTCCTCAGAGTAGGAGAAGCGTGGCCTCTTGGAAATGGGCTCTTCCTCTTCATCTTCATCTCTGTGGCGCCTGGACCCCCCTGGACGACGCTCCTCTTCAAAGACGGGACAGGGCGCAGGAGGAGGGCTTGCTGCTCGCTGCTTGCGGTTGAGGTGGCTCCACAGCTGGAGCAGGGGGGTTCCAAAGAGGGAGGCCGCTGGAGGAAGACGCTGGTCTTCCTCTTCACTCTCCGTGTCCTCGTCTTCCTCTTCACCCTCTGTGTCCTCGTCTTCCTCTTCACCCTCCGTGTCCTCGTCTTCCTCTTCACCCTCTGTGTCCTCGTCTTCCTCTTCACCCTCCGTGTCCTCGTCTTCCTCTTCACCCTCTGTCTCTTCGTCTTCCTCGTCACTGACGTCCTCCTCTGAGAGACTTTCGTAGCCAGAGTCTGCTTCATCCTCTTCATCAGAAACCTCGTCCTCTTCATCAGAAGCCTCGTCCAAGCCTCGCCCACGCATGATGACAAAATACCTACCTACCGGCAACTCACCTGCGTCCTCCTCGTCTGACGAGAAGTCAGGGTCCTCCAGAGCGTCCAGGGGGTCCCGAACCGCTGAAACATATTGACAACATCAACTTCCTCAAACACTTAATTGTTCTTGCTTTGTCAAATTCAGTCAAACACAGTCAAACATTTTCGTCTTCATCATGAAGACAAAAGAGCTGGAAAGCACCAGAGGCGTCTGGATAAGAAGGACATTTTCTCTGCTCAAAAAAAGTATTTGAGCAGACTATTAGCGTTCATTATAGTACATTATCCAGATTTAGTGCAGTATTAGCTGATCCCAGTGAGCTCAGTGTGTCTTCTCTAGCACTACAGAGCATCTGACAGTATACAGGCACCACTCTTACCACCATCAATGAGGAACACTCCGATAAACCTGTGTACAGCATCTCCAGCAACATCTAATGCGCCTCCATGTTTAGCTTCATGTCAACTATCTGTGACTGTGCTCATGAACTTGTAAGAGCTGATACATGCTGACGTCCACAAACACGTGTCACTTTACAGCTTTCCTGATCAACTTGTGCCATTATCAGCAGCTGTTTTTACAGGTTACCAAACGAAAAGAGAAAAGTCCAGCTTCTCAAATGATGCCAGAAATGATGCTAGCTCTTCTCACAAACACGAGGCTCATTGAAACAGCCACACAACTGTTTACGTAGCGTCATGTTTGTTTATTAGATGAATGTTTTATTATCATTTCAGTGATTACCTCCAGGGACCAGGGGCAGAAAGTCCGGGGCGTGGGAGGGGCGAGCCATCCTTCACAAGGTGTTGTTCAAAGAAGTTTTCAGACCTAGAAAAGTGTTAACAAACTGGTTTTGCACAGTGTTTTAGTGCCTCAGTGTTAATTCCACCGCTTTATCCTCAAATGCAAATGAGACGAAGAGAGTTCACAGTTCAACACAAGCGTCAGAGACCAACAGCAAGTGAAGTGATCGAGCAGCAGTTTGAATATATACAAGTTACGTCTCCATGACAACCTTGTTATTGAATATATACAACTCGCGTCTCCATGACAACGATGCACCCACGGGTTATTAAACGTGATTATTGAATAAATAGAGAAATGTTTTGGTTTTAGCCCAGTGATCCCCGAAGTGGGCTTTGGGGCGCCCTCTATAGGCCACAATGTGTGTTGACGAAACAAGAATACAATACAAGTACATAGAAAATAAAACAATGTCACGTGTTAAACACTGATTCATCAACTTGTTTAAATCATATTGCGCTTTAAATAAGTCTATGCTCTTCAATACATACTCTTTAAAATTCCGGCATAGTTGAAGGAGGCCAGTCCCTGTGCTCCTCAGAGTCCCACCAGGACCAGGACCAGGACCAGGATGAGGACCAGGACAACAAAAATGTAAGGGATCCAGAACCGAGCCAGGACGAGTCCAGGACCGAGGGAGCAGGATCATGACGAGGACCAGGACGACCAACTAAACAAAAAGGGATCCACACACAAACATACAAATACAAATATACACACACACACACACACACCATCAGAAAGGCCTGGGATTTTTGTTGTTTGTCCTCTGACCAGCAGATGGAGCTATAGATCAGATGATATTTCACTGCAAGTTCCAAAGCCTGAGTTATGAGACCCCTGCAGCTTGTCCCCCTCACAAACACATTCAGGTCACGGGGATGCGCAGTGGAAACAGCTGATGGGACCACCTGTCGGAGCCTTTGACTGAGGGCCACATGTGTGAGTTACAAGGTCCTGCTTGTGTCACGCTCGCTTTGTCACTTGTGAAGGGCAAGAGAGGATTCATTCAGCTCAACCAGTCATGGCCAATGTCAGTGTCAGTGCAGAGAGCTCATGCAACAGGCTGCTTTAATTAGTACAAAGTAATACTAAAAATAATTACAATGTCTTCCATCACAAGTTGTATTCATTCATGTTATTATATATGAAGCTATGTTTTGTAAACTGGAGCAGAATATTAGTTATCAAAGACCTATATTTTTGTTTCATAAATACATTGTTTGTCCCTACAGATTGAGAGTTGTTTTAAGTAACATTTTGTGATCAAATCCGACCACAACACACTGTCTTTACCTTGTTATTAGGAAACATTGATCGGAGCTAATTGGCTGAGTGATGTCACAGAAACCAAAAATACAAGCATGTGAGAATGATGATAAAAACCAGACAGATTTAAGAGCTATCAGCTAGTTGCATGGATTTGTATTTCTAATGTGGTTTTAAAATGAGGTATTCCAGCTATAACATCCCACTATCTACTTCTATATGATGAAACCTGGTGATGATAACTGAAGAACAAGTTAAAGTAGTGTAACATATAACTATGTTGGATTTCAATTAAACCAAAAAATACTTTAGCTGCTGCATTTTGTGTAGGAGAACATAACCTTCCCTCTCACCTAACTTAAAGCTGTTGTAAGTTACCTTCAAACCACAATTACATGTGGTTTTCACATGCATTAAAAATTTCCTGGTAATTTGAGCGTATGTAAAAAGTCAGATATCTATTCTATAGATGATTTGTCTGTCTGTACAGTGTCTTCTCTGTCAGTGTTATGGTCATTTACTATATGGTACCAAGTGGGTACTCCACCTTTTGACCTGTCCTGTTCCACCCAGAGGCTACTCCACCTCTGCTGCTCTGACCCGTCCTGCTCCTCCAGAGGCTACTCCACCTCTGCTGCTCTGACCCGTCCTGCTCCTCCAGAGGCTACTCCACCTCTGCTGCTCTGACCCGTCCTGCTCCTCCAGAGGCTACTCCACCTCTGCTGCTCTGACCCGTCCTGCTCCTCCAGAGGCTACTCCATCTCTGCTGCTGTGGCCTGAAGGGCTGCTGCTGATTATTACTATTTTTTCACTTTTTAGAATGATCAATTTTATTTTTATTTTTGCTGCTACTGGACACCTGATTTTTTCCGACGGGGATCTATCTCTCTATCTATCTATTTCTCTCAAAAACATGTCTAAAAGTGGGTCAATTTTCAAAACACAAATGCATGATGTTGGCCAATAAAAAGTACTTTGACTTTTAAAATAATATGGCGGTTGTGAATCTAATTGCTATCAAGTAATGATTTGGGAAGATTTTTTTTTTCCCATAGAGTGGTATTGGCACCTTCTCTCCAACGGAAATAGAATAATACAACATGAACCCGACCTGCACACTAACAACGATAAGAAAATGTTTTGAATGGTCTCCTATTCTCTCTCAGAGAGTCTGCTGTTCCAGTGTTGGTGCTGTGCCTGCTGCAGCACCTCAGTCTGCTCCTCCTCTGCCTCCCGCGGCGTGTCACAGTAGGTGGATGATTAGGTAGGATGTTGGAGTGTGTAGTGTGACAGCTTTCAGACTCCCACCTTCAGTTGAGTCACGGCCGGAGCTGCTGAGCATGTGATCCTATCACCAGGGTGACGCGGGTAGATCTGAGCCCTGTTTGTCACATCGCTCTGTAATGTTTGCTCCTTTTCATTTTCACCACTCATTCTTAAATTAGACGTTCATGTATGTATGTCTATGTTACACCAATTTACTGGTGTAACAAAGGCTGTTCTTTTGGTTTGAGCAAAAAAAAAAGATAATTACAAATACCATAAATAATAATAATAATGCATTGGTTTTATAAATATTTTTTTTTTGGACACTCAAAGACGCTTCACATGTCATTATTCATTCACTCCAAAACACGGTGGTGATAAACTACTACTGTAGCCACAGCTGCCCTGGGGCACACTGCCAGAAGCGAGGCACCCAGTCTGTGCCATCGGCCCCTCTGACCACCACCAACCATTCACACACACACCAGACTCATTCTAGGCAATGGGGGTGAAGTGTCTTGCCTAAGGACAGTGGGAGTCGATGGAGAAAGTCTTGCGGTAGGCTCAAACCCACAACCTTCTGGCTCAAAGGCCAATGCTCTATCAACTGAGCTACTGTCGCCCTCAAAAGGTGAAGCCATTGCTAAAATCCTATGGCAAATACATTTAAAGTTGTGGTTTTGTTCTGTTGCCATGTGAAGGATTTGTGCTATACATACAGTATAAACTTGCCTTGCCTTGCCTTACCTGCTGTTTTTCTCAGACATTAACACCCTTTTTTTGTCCGACAGAAAGACTCAGAGCCTATTTGACTCTTTTGGCTGAGAGTTGAGTGAGGGTGGGCCTCTCTTTCTCACTGTTCTGTCTGAAAAAGTGAGGCCAAAACTAGTGATAGAACTGTTAAACTGATTTCTAAGTTTTGATTACATTTGTAAGTAAGTAAGTAAGTAAGTAAGCTTTATTTATATACCGCCTTTCACAGACCAGAGTCACAAAGCGGTTTACAATTGTTATTTTTGGGCACTTGTCCTCTCACTCCTCACAGAGATGGGAACAAAGGACTCATATCTGATCTGATTCCCTCAATATATTGTCCATACTATTTTACAAATTACTGCATTTCTGTCTGTTGAAGATTTCTTAAAACTCCATTGCACATTCCATGCTCTGTATTCTTTCATAATTTTAACTAACCCATTTCTACATGAGGAATATTAATAGTCTTGCCCCTCCGTACTTGTCCGAACTTTTGAATGTTCGTGACTCCGTTTAAAGCAGTACTTCTAATACTTCAATATATTCTGCTTATGATATGAGAAACAACACCAACTTTCCGTGTGTCCAAAATTAGAAAAACAATGTTGCCATGAGATGATACTGAGCCAAAATCTATATATTTAGATTTACTTTAACAGGAACCAGTTAATAATCTCCTGTTGCATTACTGGGGAAACATACTGTACCTTCTGTACATGCTATTGTTAGGACACTAATTGCTTAAAAAATGACATGCAGTGCAGCAGAGTGACATGCCGAGGGAAGTGAACTGTGGCATCAGGCAGGTAATCGGAGAGGACCATATCTTGTTATATGCCCGGAGTCGGTTAACGTGGTAATAATTCTGCGGGGGGGTTCTTGGATGGAGC